TAGCTGTGAGTAAGGAAATGAATTTTGCAGTGCTTTGGATGGGAAGAGCTGTAATGCTAGTAGGATTGAGAGTCTGCAGGGTTATATTGGTTTTCAAAGAGAAATCTTCCGACATTACTAAAGATTGAATTTTTCAGATTTTGTTTTTCAAATCCAGCGAAGAGGTTCTCATAAGAAGGTCCCAGTTTAGTGCTTACACTTATTGCCTCTTATCTGAGAGTAAAAACCTACAGTTAAAACGGAAGCGGTTTAGTGTTAGAATGAGATGTAATCTTAAGAGAATATCAGTGGGTGGATTATTTTCCAGCTGTGCATCGAGAAAATGTTTTAGAGCATAAATCTTTGACTATTTTGTTAGCTCCCTTTGTTTCACTGCCAGGTTGACATGCTAGCTAAACCCACCGTGCTGCACTGAGCTAACGATTAGCGTTGATGTGCGTATGAACAGAGCCCTGTTAAAAACCTCATTAACTCCCTCCTCAGATATGCTTGGGATCTGAAGCCGCTCGTTCACCACTAACCTCACTGTCAGATACCTTTTGTTAATCTCTGCCTCTCTGAATGAGATCTTAGCAGAGAAGCTAATGCAAATGGTTTGATGCCTGTCACTTCACAGAGAGAGCTAGCTCAGACGGCCGTATCACGGGCAGCAGGTACCGAAGAGAACGATTTCCGTCACTGAGACAGTGCTGAGTCGTGACTGTTCATTAAACTGTCTGTTCTGTGGATGGAGTGACTGAGATAAATGACACAGAAGGGCTCGCTGATAGCTGGAACACTGCAGCACGTATGGGAATGAGGGATTACAGTGATTTAATGTGTCTGCTGTATTATAGATTATAATACTGCATTCAGTTGTATTGTGGATGTATTTCAGACCTTTAATTACATTCCAACAGTCGTGTGCTTTCACTATGCTTTTCCACCACAATAAAAGTTTCTTTGCTGTAAAAATGAGTTATATTAAATTATATTAATTGTATTAATAAGTTAAGAAATATTTAAAATAAACAAACAAATAAATAAAAATAAATAGACTTTTTTTTCAGCACAGAAGTCTTCATAACGGAGAGCTTTACCGTTTCTTAGTCGAGCAATAACAGAAACTCCCACATTCCACAACACTGAATGTAACTATAGATGGATAAATGTACAACCTGTTATTCTTTAATTAATAAAAAAATATGATTTTTGCCAGATTGCTGTGTTATAAAAGAAATAAAACACTTCATGTGGTTGCTGTAGGGAAATGAATCAACTTTTTAGTTAACGATAACTTTTATTTGTGTCGGACCTCTTAACGCCATGATTAGCTTCCTACAGCAGCAGATTTTCTTTCTGTCCTTTGTCTTTTGATAGCTCTCCATTATTCCGGTTCAGCCAGTGTATAACGGTGCTACAAAGAATCTCTGCTGAGAGCCGTTACAGCCGGAAATCAACAACCTCTAGCTTGGTCTCTAAGCTTTGCTCACTTTGATCATTTAATTACAGTTTACCGGCTGCTGTGTGTGTATGTTGTTTTTCACATTTAATCCACTTTGTGAATGCTATGCTTGACTGGATGCTATATAGGGCTATTACTGATAAATTGTTAATGACGTACACACAGGCCATTTCACATGGCTTGTTAATTTCCTCCCGGCGTTCTTAACGTTCAGTTCACCATAACCAAGCAGCTACTCAAAAGCATGCAAGCACTCTCCAGCTCTTATCTACGGACTAGCAGAGTGAGTCCTGCTAGAAGACCTCCATTTTTCTTCAAGATCACACACTCCTGTCCACCTGTCTGTGCAGGTCAAACACACGCGTCACGTAACTTGCTCCCAAAAAACCGCTCTTTCTACTGGTGTGTCTTCTTCAGACGTTCTGGCCTGAGCCATACATCTATGTCTGATCTTTACACCTTGGTTCTACAGCTGTGCTTAGCTATCCATTAACTTGGTCGAACACCACATGGGGACAACTAATTTAGCGCAGGTGTAGAAAACTAAAAACTGTAAATCATGGTCAGGGGGCGGGTGCACATAGTGATAACCCATAACCCCTGCTTCCGTCCCTGAATCAAATTTTTGGCTGTGGCTGATGGGAGTTATTAGTGATAGGTCTGTGTCTCACTCTCTCTGACGCACACACACAAATGGCACACTATACAGTCTCAGTCTCATTTCAACTGCATTCCCCTGACCTGGCTTACATGGTTCTGAAGAGCCAAGCACATCCCCAGTGTGAAATTGTGATAAACATGAAGTTAGATGTGATTGTTCCCCATATATCAGATATTTTAGTACCGATATGAAAGTAGACCCAGTTGCAATCAAAAATGTGTGACTTCTGCTGTTCACACTGTAATGGGGAAAAAAAAAACATACAATGTAAATGTAGCCCCAGATATCATGTTTTTTCAGGGTAATCTTGAAAAAAAAAAGCAGTCTTGAAAAGAATAGGGTTATGTTCACAAGGCAAGACTAAGTGCTCAATTCTGATTACTGCTAAAATCAGATTTTCATTATTTACATTTTGAACAGTGCACCTTGAATATTATATTACAATGGGTAGTGCCTCAGTGGTTAAGACATTGGCCTTCTGATCAGTTCAAATCCCAGGACTGCTAAGCTGCTACTGCTAGGCCTTTGAGCAAGGTACTTAACCCTCACCTGCTCAGATGTATAAATGAGCTAATTGTAAGTTGCTCTGGATGCTAAGGATGTCTGCCAAATGTGAATGTAACGTTCCTCCTGCTAAAAGTGTTTCAAGCAAGAAATGTTTCTTTTAAAAAAGCATGTTTACAATCAAATTTTTGCTTACCGTTCTGCATGATAATGTATTACATCATTTAAGAATTTTTTTTTATAATATAATCTAAAATGTTACAACATACAGATATTACCAGCAATTGTTCATGAACATAGATTTTGGTGGGGCAGGCCGATATTAAATAACGCCATAACCTCAGACAGATTAAGTCGAGGCTGTCACACTTGACTTATGCTATAGGCTACAATCCAGTGAATTTTTAGAGTAACCCCATAATAGGCAGTCAACAACAAACAGTCATATAACATACGAGTCTAGCAGCTCGTTTTGAGTGACTTCATTCAACTGTGTTTGAGGTTATATCATTAACCAGGGTTTAGAAGTTTTAGCAATGTTTCCCGCCCTCAAGATCCACACAAAAACCTTGTCCATCCTGCCTATATGGATCTCAATTAGCGCTTGTTGCAGTTCCCATTTTGACCACTAGTCACTAGTCACTAGTCAAAAGTGTAATATTAACACTTTACCGAAGCTATGCGTGGCAGCGAGCTTGCTAAAATCTAGAAATGCGAGCAAATCATAATACATATTTTCATTTTGTCATGTCATACTTTTAAAGATTTATAGTTAAGTTTAATGTTGTGTTTGTTGTCCACAAAACAAGTTAAATCCTGTTATCACTTGTGATATCGCTGCTATACACAGTTGCTCCCTCACCACTCTGTCTTTGTCTATCTGTTAGTAAATAAGACACAAGAACACAGCTTGTCATGTTACCAAGAAATTGGAAAGTCTTCCCTCTTGAACACTTGGTGGTGGAAAACATACTGGCTTTTACAAAACTCTGATATCTCCTTTATTAGTATAAATTACAGCCGGCACTATTGTTAGAGCTGCTGTCATAGAAGATTAATCAGCACCTTCTGACTAGACAGACTCAAGAATTCATCAGTGCTGTGGTTTAAGATAACAATATATTCAACAATAAGCATTTCCTGTTAGAAACATGAACAGCAAAAACAGGTGTTAGGGAGAGTGTGCACACATTCGTGAAAAAAAATCAATTGCTGCCACATATGAGATAAAATGAAAAAAAAAAAAAAAAATTTTGCCTACAGTGTAAATGTAGCCAAATATATCACAGTTGTTTTCTTTTGTTCATAGTCATTACCTCAGGTAAAATATAATGAAACAAATAGTCAGCGTCAATGCAAAACAGCCTTGCACACGGAGCAAAAATTATTCATCGATTTCCCACTGAAGTGTTTCTCAGCCATCAGCACTTTTTTGTTGGTCATTTGCAGAAACTAACAGCTGAGAACACCAAGAACACATTGATGACATTTGGCCTCGGGTAAAAAGGGCAATCAATATATATACATTAAAATCCCAATTAGGTGTAGCAGGAGCTGACACATGTTTGTATAGTAAGTGCAGAGAACATTGAACAAGAACTGTGGAACAGGACTGCTTACATACACATGTACAATATGTTTACAGGGAATCAGTGGTTATTGTACGAATGTGTTACTGCTGACGGGAGCGAGTGGATCTTCTGTTGAAATTGAGAAAGAATTGTATATTCAGTCATGAAATACTGCGTAGCGTGGCTGAGATGTTTTTCTACTCACCGTGGCTGATGTTTTGATAGGGCATCTGTACTGCAGTATGTATTTGACGTACTATCATTTGAGTAATAGTGTACATGTTGTGAGAAACTCAAGTGGCGTTCGAGAGGCACAAGGGTCTAGTCCCTAGTTTCATTGGCAGGACTCCATGAGGAAAGATCAGACAGCTTTTGAGTACCATCCAAGTCTCGTTAGAATATAACGATATGTTATTTAAACACAGATAGAATCGGTTGTGGTTTATGAAGGCGTCTAACCATCGCTGGCTTGAGAAGTGAACTCACTGTTTGAGCAGCTTCCAGTTTCAGTTCACCCCTCTCATCCTCACATTCTCATTTCTGCTGCATGTTCTCAGTCCTGAGATAATTTGTGTATAATGTGTCGATTTACGATTTACAATTTGTTCCTACATAATGCAGTTGAAAAATTATGCAAGTTTTTATTTATTAGAATGGACTTTGGAAAAATAGTAACAGCACCATCTATAGCAAATAGTGCAAACAGTAGTTCTTTGAAATAAAGGATATTTAAAGAAAGGATGTTTAAAAAAAACCCAAAACATTATTTGCACTTTTTGCTGTTACTATTTTTGCACAACTTATTGAACTCTTCATTGGGTCCCTGAAGGACTAGTGGTTAGGCCTCTGTGCTCTTACTGCCGTGGCCCGGGTTCGATTCCTGGCCAGGGAACCTGCAACAATGCACTTCCACTGCCGCTCCCAAGCCCGGATAAAATTGGGGAGGGTTGCATTAGGAAGGGCATCTGCCGTAAAAACTGTGCTAAATCAAATATGCAGACCAATGATCCGCTGTGATATTTGCACCTTTCTGAGCGCCGTGCTGCCTGTTTATCTTGGCGTGTTTTTTTTTTTAAATCTAAGCACGTAGTGTTTGAAGGTAGTGCAGGCTGTAGGAGCTGTAGGAGCTGTAGCTGTTCAAACCAAATTAATGGTGAAAATCGCGCAGCACTAGCTCAGACTATTTCTCTTTTTAATGCAGTCTGAAGGTAGGGGAAGTAATCTGTAGACACTTCATGATTTATAAAATTATATGGACAAAATTATTATTAACAGTAATTTAAAAGCCTATTGAAAATAGATTATTTGGCTATCCGCATTCAAAACTTTGAGTCTGTTTATCCATTCACATGAACTATTTTAACCATTTATGTAAAAAAATGGTCTGGGTTCACCAGGTAAAATTCCACTTCAAAGTTCAAAACAGTTACCGCAGTAGTGTTATCATCAGCGGACACGGCAAACGATACTTTTCAGGAATATAACTTTTGACTTAGAATATGAAAGCTCATCGGATGAAGATGAAAATGAAGAAGGGACGCCAATTTTAACTGAAACACCTTTAATGGGATTGTACAAGTCAATCAAATAGCTGAGGTGTTGTAAAATAAGCGTGGCTGTGTAAAATAAACAAAAATAAACAGAACATTTGGCCATATTGTGTCCAGAATGACTGTTACTCAGTATTAATTTCATGTTTATAGAACTGTGGCCTCGTGGCTATGTCGAATCACAGCCATGCCGATATTCAGTATAACCGCACTCTTGTTTGTGCAATGTTTTAATCAGAAATGTTTGGTACTAATGATATTCAACAAAGACTGAAAAAAAAATGAAAGAAAGGAAAAAAAAGGAAAAATACATATACTTACTCAGAATAGATGCTTTTTCCCCATCCATATCTGAAAGTCTACTTCTGCTTTTTTTTTTATATATAATTTTTAATTAATTAATTTAGCACGTCAAATTAAAGAAAAAAGTTTTTAAAGTATGACAATATTGTGTTATTATAATGTTATAATAATGTTATTACAATCTTTCTTTCATTATGACCACATGCTACTTGTATAACCTAATAATATTAACTAATGTTAAACAATTGTTAACAAAATGCACAAAGTATTTTATGTTTATTTTGCATCAGAAATGTTTGAAAATTCTTTGTAGCGAACTCATACTGTCAGGCTCTCAAGCGCACTTGTGTTTTGAGTTGCTGTATTTTTGGTGTGTTTTCTTGTTATTGTACTCAGAGGTGCTCAAAGAGCCCGTGGCAGCACTTTATTCTGCTGCACGCCATGTGGAGTGTTAGTGCTGCAGGGGGTGGATGGGCAATATCTGATAAATATTTTGTGGCTCGCAGGAGTGTGTTGGCCTACATTCACTTTCTCTCTTGCTTCTCTAAAGGATGCCAATTACTGTGAGAAACATGAGAGACGTGTTCTGAAAACACGAGCATGGATGTGCTGCGCCGAGTTGAAAAAATTAATCTCAGTCTGCTTTTATCTCCCCTGCCTTATTAATTATGCATGGCCCAGTGGTCTACAGCCAGGAGCTTATGAATGAGCACATGTTGTGCACACACACACACACACACACACACACATTCTAGTTGCATTCTCAGTCGAGAATGTCTCTAATAGGAATTTCTCACTAAATGACCATTATATTCATCCTGTAGTCTATGACGATTGCCACGCTGCTGCCTGTAGTTCACGCACACTTCAGGGATACCACACACACACACACACACACACACACACACACACACTTTTTTTCAGCTTTCAGCCCATGCATCAGTTGCCACCTAACCCAACAGTGGTCACAATTAACCCATTCAATCCCACTGGTTACTGGTCACTTTGCTTTGGATATGCAAAAGAGTTGTTGACGTATTTTCTCGATGAAGAAACACACTACAGATAAAATTACCCGTTATCTTGACTTTATGTGTACAGGTTTATTTGGTATAAATAGTCACATGACCAGAGCCTCTTATTTCAAGCAGGCATCCCATAAAGAGGGTGTCTACAGATCTCTATAAAAGGCAGTAAATCAAATGGATGTAGGGAATACCTGGAGGCATGCTGTTATAGGAAAATAATCAATGATATGGTGGTGTGATGCAGCCGGATCTGAAGTGGAGTTACTTTTACCACCCAAAAGTTGATTATTTTTCTAAACCGGAACATCCTGATGCATATTATTATGTATTTTATTGCATTTTTTTATTTATTAAAGAACATCATGCCATCGTTTGTCCATTCATAGTTACATTTTGTTGTGTTGTGAAACGTTCATGAAAAGGTTTCTGTTACCACTTTATTATCACTGTAGTAATGCAGCTTGTCTACAAAGCTCTCTGTTCTGAAGACTTTCCTGTGCCAAAAAACTTAGTTACAGCTTTATTTCTGACCGTTGCAAAGCGCTGACACTGGAGACTCCTTCCGTAAATGTTACACGAACGTCTACTGAGAGAAAGCTGCTGCACATTACACGTTAATCTGTTTATGTGAAGCCATACGAATCCATGTAAAAGCCATTACTGTAGAGAGGATAACATATTAGAATGAGTGCATTAATATAAACCTTTAGCTGCTTTTGTTCTCAGAGCTGCTGTTATAGAAAATTAATCAACACCTTCTGACCAAATTGGAACTTGAATTCAACAACGCTGCAGTGTAATACATTCTGTATGTAACTACCATATTTGGTACATATAATCTTTAAATGGATAATTAATGATATGTTAATAGCATTGTCCTTCAGCATGCTTGTGACCACTGGGTCAGAGTACTATTTAAATATGTCAAGTCAGATTCCTCACATTTAGGACACAGTAGACTTAAATGATCAAAATGTAGGGTACCTGCAAGTTTATATCTTTCTGTTCTCCAATATTCCTTGTTGTTAAATAAAGAAATTTATTTAAATGTTTAATTGACCAGCTGGGTCTAATTGATCAAAGTGGGATCAAGGATAAGGCGTTTTATAAATAAATCTTTTTTCACCATTTTTATCCAAAGAGATAACTGTATTCCGGGGAAATTTTGAATTTAAATAGATTAATTTCTTGCTGTTTTTTCAGACTCTAGTCAATGTTTATTTCTTCAGACACACATTCCATGTCAAATAAAAGATTTCATTTAAACCCCAACTTTTTCCCTTATTGCCTGTGCACAGGTCTCAAAAGTTACTCTTTGCTAACTTTGCACATTTTCTCCCCCCCCCCCCACTCTCTCTGTGTATCTGTGTGTGTGTTTCCTCTCTCTTTTCCTCTGCCTTGCTCTCTCCCGCTCTCTTGCTCTAATTGAAGAGGCATGTGCTCCACACCCCTCTCATGGGCCTCAGTCATTGGCTGCAGGGGAAACATCCGAGGACGAGCCCCTGCCAGGTGGCTTTTTGGGAAGCCCGCGGTCTGACCTCCCTCTCTAGGCCGATTCTGGCACCTGCTTTTCCTTTCCTCTCTCCTTTTTTTCTACATCTCATTAATTCACTCACTCTTTCCAAACTTGGCTTTTTACTTTCTCCCTGTTCCTTTTTCCTGCCTTCACATCCATGCCTCATTTTTTCTCCTTTCATCTTTGTCTCCTTCCTCCTCGATCCTATATTTATCTGTGATTGAAGTCTTCGGAGGAAAAGAAAATTAGATGTTCACTATATAACAAAGCCGGGCTGATAAACTTCAAATGCAGTCCAGTAACATTAACAGAATTGTGGAAGGACTTTTTTTTTCTTTTTATGGGTCTCATTGATATTCATCGGGCTGAAATTTTCAGAAGATTGCCTGAAATTAATGGGTCATCCATTTTTTCTTTATGGAAGGTCTTTCTGGAGCTTAATTGTGATTTTAATCATGCATGATTAAAATATTGTGGGTGTGTTAAGAGTGAGATACCATGAGTGTGCTTGTGCATATAATACAGTGGTGTTTGAAAGTTTGTGAACCCTTTAGAATTTTCTATATATCTGCATAAATATGACCTAAAACATCATCACATTTTAACACAAGTCCTAAAAGCAGACCATGAGAACCCAGTTAAACAAAAGAGACAGAAATATTATACTTGGGCCATTTATTTATTGAGGAAAATGATCCAATATTACGTATCAACAACTCTTTTTCTGAGGTCCTCGGAAATCTCCTTTGCTCGTGCCATGATACACTTCGACAGACATGTGTTGTGAAGATAACATGTATATCATGTACATTAATAGATCTCTATTCTTTAAATAATTTATTGTCATCCCATTGACTGAAAACACCTGACTAATTTCACCTTCAAATTAACTGCTAATTCTAGAGGTTCACATACTTTTGAAACTCCCAGATATGCTCATCAGGCTGGAAAAGTTACAAAACCATCTCTAAAGAGTTTGGACTCCACCAATCCACAGTCAGACAGATTGTGTACAAATGGAGGAAATTCAAGACCATTGTTACCCTCCCCAAGAGTGATCGACCAACAAAGATCACTCCAACAGCAAGATGTGTAATAGTCTGCGAGGTCACAAAGGAACCTAGAGTAACTTCTTAGCAACTAAAGGCCTCTCTCACATTGGCTAATGTTAATGTTCATGAGTCAACCATGAGGAGAACACTGAACAACAATGGTGTGCATGGCAGGTGTGCAAGGAGAAAGCCACTGTTCTCCAGAAAGAACATTACTGCCCATCTACAGTTTGCTAAAGACCACATGGACCACAATAGCCAGAAGACTATTGGAAATTATTATCCCATCTGTGAAACATGGTGGTGGTAGTATCATGATTTGGGCCTGTTTTGCTACATCTAGGCTAGGACGGCTTGCCACCACTGATGGAACCAGCAAATTCTAAAAGAAAATTTTAGGACATCTGTCCATGAACTGAATGTCAAGAGAAAGCAGGTCATGC